AGTCCATATTACAAACCACTCACATAGTTTGCACAGTTGCCATTTCTTGAACTATATCATTATTGAAAGATGCTAAATATCAGTGCAGATGTTGCACTTTGCACAAAAAACACTGTTGCAATAGTTTCTGTTATCACTGAGCGAGTTTAAGTGATTCAGCCTAGTATTTCGTCTGGCCACAGGTTCATCCATCCTTGTAGGAGTATGTGTGTTGCCGTCCGTGACAGCTGTGCCCCCGTGCTTGCCTGCCATGGACACCTCTGGCCTGGCAGTCTAGACTGCGATCGATTCCCTGCAGATGAGGACATGTGCCTGGCATCTCTCACAAAGGAATACAAATACTCACACAAAGGTAGCTGGAAAATGGTGGAGGAAAGCGTGGTGCTATTCTGGGTTCCTGGGAATCATGTACATACAAGGAACACTGTTCCCAGACAATCTGTGATTTTATAAGTGGTCATGTCTATCTGTACTGTTCATGCAGACGGCATGAGCTACAGCAGAGCTCAGATGGGGTAAATCAGCATCACTTCAAAAAAAGAAAGTGTAGATAGTCTAAGCTTAGATAGTGGAGGAAGACAGTTATCACCCTGCACTGCAATGGGCAGTATCATACCCATGGCAGCACACTGATTTATTTTGAAGTCTCTATAGACTTAGCAATGGCCCTTATCACAAGTAATTTTACATATACAATAAACTGATTCTCAGATCAGCTTAGAAAAGTTGGAATGATTTATTATCTGATTTTTATTTTTTTTTAGGGGAACCAGACATCATAATAGCGTTCAACTATTCAGATACTCAGGCTTATTAACTTCTATGGAAAGGAATAGGATTCAGTTGCTGCTAGCACCCCCAAATTCATGTATTCACAATCCTAATGCAGCTGCATCCAGAATCAGACAAAATCATCCACCTAACCCCTTTCCCACCCACTGTAGCAGTATTAAAAATAATACTGTATTTGTTACTGTATTTGATGTTGATAATTGAGCTTGTCAGTGCAAACAAGACTGAATGCACATGGAAAATGAAACTCTTTTTCATCCCTAGCCAAGTTTTCAGAGAAGTATGTAGACTTTCTGTGTTATCACTGACCAGTTGTGTATTTTCTCTGTCACCCCTGTGGTTAAACAGTGGGCTCTCAGGCTTTGACAGCAGAAAATTAAACCAAACGTTTTTAAAACATAACCATGACACTCTGTCATTTCTCCACAGTCCTACCAAAGCCTGCCTGCCAGACCTGCCCAGCAGTGGAGGAATTCTTTACACACAAAAGAGTTCTTGAAGTTTTCTGTGACAGTAACTTCGGTAAGTCCTTGCTAATATGGCTGCTATTGAAGAGAATAACAACTCTCCTTCTAAAATGCTTTGAAATTAGGATTACAATAATGACAGTTTCTGCTGTAATTTCAAAGGATTAAGAGTTTGGCTCTTAACTTTGAATTATTTTTCAGAATATGTTCTTTCCAATCAAAATATAAGGAGGATTTATTTTGCATGGAAGATTCATCAATGATCTAGTTTACAACCAAAGAGCTCTTCTGTTCTTGTTGAGTTGGCTACATTGTAATACAACATGCTTTATGAAAAATATTTCTGGCAAAAGCAGCCAAATAAGCAGGTTTGCCTTTTATCAGTGGTTAAACCCAAACTAAAGCTTTGGTATTTTACTAGTGAACAGTGTGTTGTTGATATTTGTGTGTATGAGTTTTTAATAACACAAAGCTTACTGAGAAGGAGACTCAGAAAATCAAATCAGTAAAAGAAATTCTTACTTGTGATACAAAACCAACACCAACAGCTTTCAATATATAATTACCCAAAAAGCCTGACATACACAGTGATGGTAAAAATAAATTACTCACTTCTGTGAAAATATTTTTTTCCTAGTTGCCTAATTCAATGAAAAAGATCCTTACTACACACCTTTATTTTTAAACATTTAAAAATGTATACTACTGCTAGAGAAGGCCTTGCCATACTCTTATCAGCATAAATTAGAATCATAGAATCATAGAATAGTTAGGGTTGGAAAGGACTTCAAGAATTATCATAGTACTTTTAAGGAATCATCCTGCTTTCATTGGTAGTGTTTCTTTTGGCATGCAAACTAATGGAGTGACTCATGTGTTTCCTTTTTTTCCTTAGCAGTGAAAGTAAAGCTGTCCAAGAAGAGAACAGTATTTGGTGACCAAGAGTATAACATTGAATGCCAAGTGGAATTCAGTACCCAGGGCTCACTCTTGCCTTATGAAACTCAGAATATGATACAGCAGTGGCTGCTTATCAATGAAAACTGTACACAGAGGATGACTTCAACCCATCGTCCCATGGTGTATCTCCTTGTGGGGAATATTGAACAGGGCATCATTTCAGTAAAACAGGTTTATCGCTGGCAGAGGAGGGACTCCCAGCTGACTTTGGCCACTCAGAAATGGAGATACCATAAATGCCTGTAAATACTTATCATTTGTAAAAAGATGATTATACTTCTCATGACAAACTTATCTTGTAAATAGGAATGTATTATAAGTGGAATGTAAAGTCTTGATGTCTTTTAAAATGATATTATAAGTTGAACTTAAAGCCCAGTGTTATCAGGCCTCCTTTCTGTAGCATTACAGCTAATCACATGAAGTTTGAACTTGGCCAATCATGTATAAATGTTTGAGTTATTGCAAAAAAAAAAAAAATCGACTATGTGCAAAACCTAGCATAAAACAGTTGTAATCCAGCTGAGTACCTTAAATATATATTTCTATGCCATCTGTTCCACCATTTTCTCCAGTTACCTAAATTTTCCCTTGCTTAATGTTTCATTAACCCACATCATTTTCTCCCATTAGAGTATTTTAAAGAAAGGCAGCCCTCTGCTGGTCGCTTTTGACAGAATCAAAGTAAAATAAATAGCAATAAGTAACTAAACACGATGTGGCTGGCCCCAGCCACAAGATTTGATCATTGTGTGTCATTTTACAATGACAGAGCTGATAGTGTTCCTCTGGAATCGCAGTCAGGTACTTATTACTGAAAGGTCTTTTTCGTTTTCAGACACATTACAAAAGCCAATGTATAAACTTTACCAGTTGTGTAAGTGGTCTGCAGGGAACTAATGGAGTGATAATATTCAAGAAATGAGAAATATTACAGGTGCTACGTGATTAGCATCCTTATTGTCAGTGCAGTACACTAATACTAAAGACTACATGAAGATGTCCGGATCTTGACTTAATTTTAGTTTTATAAATGTGTATAATAGACACAAAACCAGGTAATTGATAATACTCAAATTAGAAGCTATTTCAGCAATACAGTGTCTATTATGGTAATATTGTCTTGAAACAAATATGGCAATGTTTATGGTCAGTAGCTTTCTAAAAGTCCCATCTGTACTGCTCTGGGGTCCTGCTATGTCCTCCATAAGTGCAGGTTTGTATGCATGCTCCTGAAGGCACTTGCTCCATCACTTTCTACCATGAACTGTAAGACTGGAAGAAAGCGAGGGAAAAAAAAAAGTTGACACAGTCTATGCTCAGTTTATACTGTATAATGAAGTCACTGCTTAGCAAAAAGTAGGTTGTTCCAAAGCTCAGTTCATTTGCTCCTGCTGCATCCCGCCTGGTCCCTGCAGGAAAGGTGGTAAACATTTAAAGGCAGCTGGCTGCTAGACACATGCCGGCTGTTCCAGGCTCCTCCTCAGCAGCCCGCTGGGCTGTGACACCCCCTCCCACCCCCCGACTGACCGGCTGAGGTAGCCGGGCTTGTTCAGCTTGGAGAAGGCCCCGGGGACACCTTAGAGCAGCTCCAGTGCCTAAAGGGGGCCTACAAGAAACCTGGAGAGGGACTTTTTACAAGGGCATGTAGTGACAGGGCAAGGGGGAATGGCTTTAAACTGAAACAGGGGAGATTTAAGCTAGACATTAGGAAGAAATTCTTCATTATGAGTGCTAAGGCACTGGCACAGGTTGCCCAGAGAAGCTGTGGCTGCCCCATCCCTGGCAGTGTTCAAGGGCAGGTAGGACGGGGCTTGGAGCAACCTGGTCTAGTGGGAGGTCCACCTGCCCATGGCGGAGGATTGAAACTGGATGATCTTAAGGTCCTTTGCAACCCAAACCATTCTATGATGACCCGCTCAGAACTGTCAGAAGCATTGGCACCTGGGCTTGGTGCAGAAAGGTTTGGGCTCTGGTGCTGCCAGCTATGGAATGAGTCTGGTTGCTCTGCAAAAACGAAGGACCCATCATTTTAAAGTGTTTATTTTATTTGTATTAAAGGACACCCTGCAGGCCAGGGGTTGTGGGGTTTTGGGGTTGTTTGGTTGTGTGGGTTTTTTTGTTTGTTTTTTGTTTTTTTTGCTTGCTTTGTTGCTGTTGTTGTTTTGGTAGGTTGGGTGTTTTTGTATTTCTCTTTGATTTGTTACATACTAAAACCCAGCTCCCGTGGTTGAACCAGCCTTGGCATGACAACGCAATCCAGCGAGCCAGGCACACTTCAGAGGGCTCTGGCAAAGGGACCTTTTCCTCGGTGTGTACTTCAGGGCCTCCCGGGACTCAGCGGTGTGAGAACAGCGGCACTACTGAGGCCGAAAACCATGCTCAGGGGCTCAAAACCCCGCTCCCGTCGCTCTCACAGCCGGCCGCAGGGCGGGGACTCCCGCCGGCACTCCCAGAGCTGCCGCCGCCGCGGGAGGAGCGTTCGGCCGAGCTGCGGCGCTGCCGGCGGCTGGGCCCAGGCGGAGGCTGAGGCGTGCCGGCTTCCCGCCCTCGCCGACTGTGGCGGCTAGACCTTCCCGCGGCCTGCGGGGTGGCCCAGGCGCGGCAGTCCCACCGGGAGGGCGCCTGGGGCTGCCGGGCTTCCCCGGCAGGCGGGCGGCGAGCAGCAGAACGGGTCCGCTGTAACGCGCCCTCCGGCGGCTCCAGGGCTTCGGTGAGGCGGCCTGGCGGCGCACTGTGCACCTTAACCCTCGTTTTCACACCGGTTTGTTTCTCTTAAATGCCTCGGGGGTTTTGAAAGGCGAGAGAGTTTTGAACCCAGCAGACCCCTATAACTGTGTCGTCGGTGGTGTATATAAGCCTGTTTTTCAACTTCGTGGCTTTATAACTTTTCACAAGTAGCAGTTTCTCTTCACATCAGCCATGTCAGGTAAGTATCTCTGTGTAATGGCAGATGAGGAGGCCGATGCTCAGGTCCTCAGCAATCTGCAAAGCTGAGGGTGGACTAGAAGGGCTTGGAGGGGAGACATAGCCCCTTCACCTACACCACAGAGCCCTGTCCCCAGGTCTCCAAAATGCAGGTAATCTTGAATCCTGCCTGCGTGCAACCGGTTTCAACTTTGCATTGCTGCCTGGCTCCTCCAGGAAGAGTGCTAAATGATTTTCTGTGGTTTTGTTCTGTAAGTACGAAGTCTAAAGTGCAGAATTGGCCTGCAGCAGATACGATGTGTACATATGGTCTCACTAGCTAATATAATATTAAATTTGTTTTAAAAGATGTTTATTTCATGCCCGAAATACATGTCTTGGGATTTTTGTTTTGGTTCTGTCTGTAGTGATGGCTTCAGGAACAGCGCTGATTTATGATGAGGAGATGACCACTCACAAACTACTTTGGAGTGAGTAAGTCACTGCCATCATTTTCATTAATAGATTCTTGCCAGGACTCTTGAGTGAAGTACCAAGTAAATGCAGGTTTTGTAAATGTAATAGGAAACACCCAGTGGCAGATAACACTGTAATTTTCCTAGTAAATGGGAAGTCTTTCCTTTTGTAGAAAAGTTTTTATTTTATTCCCAGTTTGCATCCAGGTGCTGTGATGATAATCTGAAACTGGGTTTGAGAAGCTGCAGGTCTCCAGGCTAGCAGGCCTTAACCAGAAGTGTTAGGTTTAGGCATCTGAGTAGCCCCCTAAATAAAGTATTTTCAGCTAATTAAATAGTTTATAAACCTAAAGGATCATTTATCTTGTAGATGTGATATATGTTTATGAGCATATGTGGATATACTCAGATAAAAGCTGACAATTCAGTTAGAAATTGGTATATGATACTTGCTTAAATTTACATAAATTAGGCCAATACCATTGCAGTTGCTCAGAGTACCAGCCCACTTCTCCCCTGTTCACCTTCATTGTAAACTACAGCTTTTCATTTCAGCATTCCTATGTCTGTAGTTAAGCATTGCTTCTTTCAGTGGTGAGAGAGCAGACAAAAAGTGATGCCATGGTGTTTCTTTTTGATTTAAGAACCATACATATTTTTCAGCTTGCATATTTTAGAACCAATTTTTGGCTCAATTCCAAAGCAAAAAGTGTTTAAAGTCTGTATTTCTCTTTTAATCCCATGTATCACTCTATGAGGGTAATGAATCTTCTTACAATGTGAAATTAAAAACTGGGCATTATGAAGTGTATTTGTTAGCTGTGGTAGTATGATTTTATAGTGATACTATTATTGCTTATTTTTAGTCCTGTTTGTGATATTGAAGTGCCAGAAAGGCTGTCCTCCTCCTATATGCAGCTTAAGCATTACCATTTGTTGGAAAGATGTGTCCATGTGCCTGCCAGAGAAGGAAGCGAGGAGGAGATCCTGTTGGTTCACAGGTCTGAAACCTACTTTCATCACTTTTCAGATTAAATCAATGAAATAACAAATCTCATACTTCTAGGTCATACTTCACTCCATTTGAAAAGATCTGCTCCAAAACAATGGAAAATGCATCATACTCAAAGTTAGACAAATGGTGTTCTGTATGGTATAGGTGCTGAAGTATGAATCTTCTATTCTGCTGAATCCCCATTCTCACTCTTTGGGTTCTTAAGCAATGAATACTGATTTATACATAGGATCAGAAGTAAACTTCTAATCAAAATTGTGAAGAGATTTAAAAATGTGTAGAAAAATGAGTATTTCTTTAGAAAGATAATAACCTTATGTTTCTTCCAAGTGCCTTTGAGATAGAGCAAGCTGAACAGAGAAACTTCACAGCTAATTCTGGGGGGGAACAGCAGCTTGCCCATTCTGAAGTCATGGCAATGAAATCTGCTCTAGTATTTTTCATTTCAGTTTGATGATTTTGCAGCCAACTGCAGATAGTTCTGTGTGTTGCTTGTACACTCATTTGCCTTTGTCAGGGACCATGAGGGCAGCCTTCTGAGAGGCAAGGGAAGTTGGGAGCAGAGCATGATGATGTATAAGAATCCTTACTTTCAAAGTGCTCCTTACTTTTTTCACTATACCTTGCAACTGGCATTCCAGAGTATCTATTGGACTTGCAAAATCTCACAGAGAGCCCCTTTAAACATACAATCTGCAACTTTTCATTGCATTTCACATTTAAAAAAACCTTTTTAGTTCCTTAGTGAAGTGTTGTAACTTTCTCTCCTCTGCAGTTCAGAATATTTAGAAGTGGCAAAAAGCACCCAAACAATGAATGAAGAGGAACTGAAAAAAGTGTCTGGAAATTATGATGCTTTCTTCTTTCATCCGGTGTGTAAGTTAAATTGCTTCCTCTGTGGGAGTTACAAGTATTTGTGTTACTGCATCCATCCAACTGACACTTTCCTAAGTAGGACAAAATTTGCAATACATTTTTTTGCTATTTAAATAGACTTGCATTTATGATGTTATCTGTTTCAAGTTTAGTATAATGCTATAATTTAAATTGGCTAAGTGTCCTGTCATCTGTTCTTTGATTATATCATGCCAGTATAGCTCACTACCCAAATTTTAGCTCTATTTTTGTCACTTAATGTCACTGTAGACCATTAGTGAGTTACAAATCCTATCTTGGTAACAGTTGCTCTTGAATGTTGTGCTAGGTAATGCAGGTGAGGTCCTTCATGTTCTACCTCTGTAAGGTTTCATTCCTTACTCTCAAAGAGTTATTCCATTAGTCAGTTCAGTGTGTCCATGCCATGTTTCTTAACTGCTCCAGAGACAGCATCCTTATAAAGGATAAGGTTATCACAGCTAAATCTAGTCAAAAGCATATTGGAATCTGTGTTGTAAAATAACGCTTTCAACTACCTGCATACAACCTCAGTTGGGTAGAATTATCTCCAGACAATTTGCTGTTGGGGTACAAAAACATGTCATGTGTGATTAATTTAAATAAGCTGAGTAGTGATTGATGGCAACTATGAGTTTCTTTCAGAACACTTACCGCTGTGCCAAGCTAGCGGTAGGAGCAACTTTGCAGCTGGTGGACGCTGTGATGTCAGGAAAAGTGTGCAATGGAATGGCATTAGTAAGGTAAGAAAATAGGTGAGAAAGTTTTCACTTTGTACCAAAAATTCTTTTGTAACTATTTAAAACTTTGGTTTAGACCTCCAGGTCACCACAGCCAGAGAAGTGCAGCTAATGGGTTCTGTTTGTTCAACAATGTTGCTATTGCAGCAGAATATGCAAAACTGAAATATGGTCTGCACAGGTAAGTGCATGGTTGGCTCTAGAGAAGTTTTTCATACCCCAGTTTGGCATTTAGATAACTCTGACATTGTACTGTTTTAGATTAATTTCTAGAGCTTTCTGGGCATCATATATGTTTTGGGTCAGAAAAACATATTAATCTGTACTTCCTTTAGATTAAGATGCTGTGGTGGTTCTGCTGAATTTTTTCTTTTACTGATCTATGCAGAATCCTAATTGTTGACTGGGATGTGCATCATGGGCAAGGAACTCAGTATATATTTGAAGAGGATCCAAGGTTTGAACAATTTTATTTTTTTTATATTAGCTGGTAAAAGATTTCTTATCTCTGTAGAGAATAAGATTTCTTAACTTTCTAAAACTATAATTTTACAAAACATTCTTGCTACTTTAGTCATTGTTTTCTACTTGTTATAAAATAGAGAGGAAAAGATAACAAAAAGAAAAATATGTAAATATATTCTACTGTAAAAAGTAGCAAACACAAAATGACTGATATGATTACCTTAGTTTGCCAGCAATAAGATCTCTTCATGCCAGTATTCAGGCAGTACATCTGTTCTCTGTATTCACAAACCTCTCAGTTAAAGTATTCAAGTAGTAGTTGGATAAAATACATGAGCTTTATATTGTTTTCAGAAAAGCCACAGAAATAGGTTCTAGAAACAAGTCTGCTCTTCTGAAAATGCCCTGTCTTTGGGCTGAATCGACTGCATGCATCCAAGAAGTTTTTAGCAGGTTAATTTTTAGGTTAATTTTGCCATAGGACCTACTATGCTACGTTGCACAGTCCAAGTCCTTTAAGAAAACTAAGGAGAAAAGACAATTCTATTTTATTACTTTCAGTCAATGCAGTCACCAGGTTCAGGATATAAAGTCAGTTCCAGAATGCTTTTGTCAAGTTGGATTTGTTACGTATATCTTTCAGTGTTTTGTATTTTTCCTGGCATCGTTATGAACATCAGGAATTCTGGCCATCGCTCAAAGAATCTGATTATGATGCTGTGGGTCGGGGAAAAGGAAAAGGTTTTAACATAAATTTGCCTTGGAATAAGGTAAATGTTTACAGCACAACAAAGCAAATGCAGTAGCTTTGTATCTCATGCTTTATATAATGCTTTCTGAGAAGCGTACTGCTTTTCATCTGTGGCAGATGTCTTAGCACAGTGTACATCCTTCCTGTCATTGGAATGTCTGCTGAGAAATATGGCTAAGAATGTGATAATGCTTTTTTGGTTTGTTTTTTGGTTTGTTTTTAGTTTTGTTTTAAAGAGGAAGATGTGCGAATATGTGCATATTTGTTTTTTTCTATAATATCTTACCTGTCCATCAAATCAGAAAGTGTTTCAGGAGATGACTACATACATCCTTGCTCAACAGAGAACTGAAGCTCATACTTCAGTTGGATATTAATGCACCTTACTTGAATCGAATTTGTTTTACCTGACCTCATAATAAGGTTCCCTTAACTTTTGATACTATCTTTCCTTAAAGTCTTAAAGGAACCTTAGAAAGTCTTTTATTCCAACAGGAAAATATGACCTTATTTCTGATACTTTGCAGGTTGGGATGGGAAATGCAGATTATCTTGCTGCATTCTTCCATGTGTTGCTTCCAGTGGCTTTTGAGGTATTTTTTTTTTCTCCTCTGCTGTATGAATAGCAAAACCAAAACCTACTTCTTAAGTACTTCTTAAGCAGATGCCCTTGAATGCTGTAGAAATACAGGAATTGCCAGTAGCATAGTTAACACCTTGTTTCCGCTAGTATGACTGATGTCCTGATCAACTGAATAGTATTTGAGGAATGTTAGCTTTTAGATATTCAATACTATGATCTGCAACTTCTCCGGGAGGAATGAAAATAGTGCATAAAGGGTGATCTTAGTGTTTATTCAAGGAGAATCTTTGTGTTCATATTGTAGCTGAAATAACAGCTGAACATGATACTGTTGAATTCCAGTACAAAATTGAAAACAGGACATAAGAATGTGCTACAACGCTTTCTGTTTTATAACAGTTTGATCCTGAACTGGTCATTGTCTCTTCTGGATATGATTCTGGAATTGGTGACCCCGAAGTAAGTAACTTTTGGCCTTTCTGTTGTCAGACATGAATCTGTTTTGATCTACCTCTTCAATGTCCTATGAATATCACTTTCTCTGAGCTATAAATACATGTTTGAGTCTTTAAGTTGACCCAAACTCATTAAATACTACAACAAAACATGTAAAGGCAGATTATTCAATAGGCATAATTATAGTGGGGGGAGTTGCACCTTTAAAGCAGTTGGTTCAGCATTTTGTTATATACAATGAAAGGCAAGTGTTCCAGTATTCCAACTCGGACTCATGTATTTCAGATTGTATGGGGATTTTTTACCAATGTTTTGGTTCAGGGTTTCATCTCAAAATGTTTTCTTTGATTTAGGGTCAGATGAATGCCACTCCTGAAGTTTTTGCCCACCTTACCCATTTCCTGATGCAGTTGGCTAACGGCAAGCTGTGTGTCATCCTAGAGGTAATGACTTGTAAAATGTACTCCCAGGGGAAGGGTCTTTGTATTAGAGCCATGTAGGGCAAGATAGGAGCTAGGAAGTAAAAGTTCTTAACAAAATAATTTATTCCTTTTATCTTTTGAGAATCAGGAATGCAAAAATGGCTAAGGTTTGACAGTGCTGTTACACATTACAAGAAATACATGTCTTAAAAACCGGGTTTGGTTTGTTGTTTTTTTTAACTTAACATTTTGAAAAAGGAGCATATGGTCATTGTAAAAAAAATCCATATCCTCCACAAATATGTTCAGTTTTTGTGAACAGTGACTAGCCTGCTGCTCTGGACAGTCCCATGCTCATTAAAATGTATTTAGTGAATAAGCTGCATTACCATTACAATTTATGTCTTACTCCAGGAGTGCTTAAAAAGCCCTTAACCTAAATATACTCTTAACTTAGTAATGGAGCCTTTACTAAATTCCCCTCCTAATGGCTGGTGGTGTGACTGCTCTACAGGTGGTGTGCAGGAAGACTGTCATCTGCAATCTAGCCATTTTCAATCTGTCTTCAGTTGTTCTCCAAATTCTGCAAAACCATTGGGACAATCATATCTTAAAAGTGTCAGGCTGAGGGAGATTTGCCATACACAGACATTTTAGAAGACAGTGAAAATGTTTGCTTTCTAAGGAGTCTTCCATCAGAATTGATGAAGATAGCATAATATCATGGATAGGAAAGGATAAGGCATGTTTCCAGGGTTTGCATCACAAAGTCATGTCTGATTTCATAAATTAATCGAACCATGATAAAATGAGTCAAACCATGGGATGCCAGTGAATTTCAGAAAACAGCCTCTAACTTAACTGGTCTTATATTGGAACTCATTGACTTAGAGGTACTTGTGTATCATCTTCCATTTCTGTAATTTCAGATATATTTCAAAATTTTAATTGTTTTCCATGATGATATTCAGGATGGATGTTACAAGTACTTGTTCCTTAAGTGACATGAAATACTTTTTTCTAGGGTGGATACCATTTAAAGTCATTGTCTGAATCCGTCTGCATGACTGTAAGAACTTTGCTTGGAGATCCTATACCTCAAATAACTGGAGAAATGGCACCTTGCCTAAGGTAAGCATATGAGGAATTTTAGAACCACTCATGTATTTATTGGAGAGGTAAAGATGTGCATGCTTTGAACATTCTGCTGAAGCAAGGTTTTAATGTGATGCTTTATATCATGCTTCAGGAAGTGGTACACCTGGTTTGGTGGTATATTAAGGTTTTAATATGATGGTTTATAATATAGTATTTTCTGCTCTGGATAACTTTAAAAAAAAAAAAGTCATCCAAGGTACAGTTTTGTATACGTTTGTTTCTGAAATTACTTCAAGTTGCGAGAATTTAGTGGCTTATAATTTTATGCTATTTATCCTCGGACCTTGTTATCCTGTAGAGATCTATCTCACTCAAGGCTGACACTATCCTGTTGTAATCAAGGCAATGCCAGTTAGTAACAGCCAGCGTTTGGGAAAGAATGTGTTAGCAAGGATTAGTTCTTCAGACTTCAAAGCCACTTCATTGCTGTAGTACAGCAATAGCTGGAGCTGACCTTTCTCTTGTCAGTGAGAGCTTATCCTGTGCAGAGCCAGTTGTGATGACTCCTCCTGTTTCTGGAATTTGGAGCATCACAGCCTGGGGTGCAAAAGCACTTGACCTGACCCAAGATAATTAAACTTTGAGTCTAACTTCTTTTTGGAGACAGTAGGATTGTGTTTGCACAGTGGTGAATCTGACCTAGTAAAGCATTCTGAACCTTGGGCCTGAATCAGTTCCACATCTAAACAGCACCCTTCTCTCTACCTGTCTATAATATCTCCCCTGCATCTCCAAGTTCTATCCTCAGTCCCTCTCCCACCTCAATAGTTGTCCTGCGTTTTTCCAGTAGTAATGCTTCTCGTGCATTCTGGTGGCAGCTCCTACCAGTTGGCTGCGTTGGTTAAAACTTGGAGTTCAGATCAGTTAGGGAAGTGGTGTAAATATACACAGGCTGTGAGCAGAGTTCTTTAGTAAACTCTGATGGAGCAAAGGTGGTTATTTTGCTCCAAGCACATCCCATACCCCTGTATCACTTTTTCTGTACCAATTCCAGCATCTGTTTGCTGTCATCCTAGGTAATACAGAGTTGATTACATATTTATCCATTATATTAGTCAAGCACCTGAACACCTGAATTTCTCCTGGGTTTAACATGATCTTAATTATGTTTGTAGGATAGCTGACGTAATAGGACCATTTTCCAGTAGTTCTGCAAATAACCAGTGATAAAATGGATTTCAACACAAAGAATAGCAGGGAATGCGATTTACTTGGTTACTGAACAGATAGGCTTGCTTTTGAGTGAATCCAGTGACATCTTTACATTATGTAGATAAAATGTCTGACAAAGACAGGTGAAACCCTGCCTCTCCTGAAGTCAGGCACAGGTGTGCTTCCTCCAAGATCAGGGTTGGGATTTCACTCGGTGTGTGTAAATGTGTGCACATATTGCATGTGGTGTTCTTCACTTTTCTTTTTTTGACTCTTGAATCTAATCTTTCCAAGCAGTCTGCCCACTGGCTCTCATGCTCTTTCTCTTCTGTATTCTCATAAGAGACCAGAGCTCGTTCATTTTCAGTTGGATTATTTTGGTTTTGCTTTTTCTTTGAGGTACATTTGTTTCCTTTATTTTCATTACTGCTGATACTGTTAATCCTGTTTCCTTTGTAGTGCTGTTGAATCTATTCAAAATGTGAGAGCAGCCCATAAACCCTACTGGAAATGGTTGATGTATGAAGGTAACTGCTTCTCTTTCCTCAAGCAAATGTGATTAGTAAATGGATTCATACAGAAATTCAAAATGATTAAGATTAATACCAATGGATTAAAATAATTGAACTACATGTTACTCACCAAGTGACTGATGAAGCAGTTTGAGGCTTCATTCAAGGCCATGTCTTCAGCTGGTCTGAAAATAACTTCTGAAGCTGATGTTTGGATTGATGATGATGTTTGCATCGTGCCAAAAACTAGCACTTTGATACCTTTGTTTGAGGGTGCTGTTTTCTGTGTTGGAAGCATGGGCATAAGATTTATTGTAATTTATGACCTTTTGCTAGATTAAAACAAATGTAGCAGCACTGAAAAGTAACATCTGTGTCAGGAAATATTGTACCTGGTGCATAGAAATAAATATGCATATTATGAATACAGATGTACTGTTTTGTAATCTACATCTGTACATTAATAATAAATATAATTATTGCAATATACATAACCAAATGTTAACACACTGCTCAGGGATTAATACATGTTAAACCCCTCTTTTTTTTTTTTCTTTCTCTAGATGTATCTTTTTTACAAAACGTGAGCACCAGATCACACCTACTAACGAAAGCTGATCCAAATCCCTCCACAGAGCATGAATCTAAGATAACTAACAATAACGAAACTGTTGAAATAGAAAGGTTTTTGGAACTGCACATGAAAAACATTCTATTTCCAGTGCCTCCCATCAAAACAGCAACAACAATTGACTCTAAAGGGTCAGCACATTTTCTCCCTGGACCTGTTCATTTGGTGAAGGAAATGGACAAAAGTGAAATCAAAGCTCTTGTCAGGTTGGTCCTATTTATTTAATTTTCAACCTAATTATGAGGATGAGAGGTCTCTGTGCAGATTGCCACCTAGCTCTGTCTCTGTCATGGCCATCTTTTAGGCTTTAGCCTCCTCAGTTATAGTCAGAGTTTCTTCTTTTGAAAAATTAAGACATCGGTGTTAGTTATCACTCACAGCCTTTAGTTTGGTTCTTCGAAAGACTTAATCAAAATACTTCTAGATAAAACTATTTCAGTGGAGATATACAGATAAAACTATTAGATAATTAGATAATATTAGATAATAGATAAAACTATTTCAGTGTTACCATCTTCCTGATAGAGCTGGGGTTTTGAGAATCAGTGTGTAGCAACTATATAGATGATACACCGTCGGTACTAACTGCAAAATACTGTTAACTGTGTCCTTGTTGAACACATTGCCTCTAACCTAAGTTTTCTTCATATCATTTATTTTACAGTGGCTTTTACACAGACATTGTGAAAGAGGACAAAACTCTGTTCTCTCTTGGCAGTGTGTTGGCTGTCCTAGATAAAATACTTAAGAAGGAGGTAATAATAAACTGTTTCAATCTTGGGGGTGAAGGAGGCTAGGAGGAGAGTTGGATTCCTCTGACTTTTTGTTCTACTATATTGTTGTCCAGGTATTAGTTACTGTGTAGTTCACAACCTCCTATCTTCATCTAGAATGTGCTTAACGACAAGAACATTCAAGATGAAAAAATTTATGTAGGGATCATGAATAACCCAAAGACATCTTTCTAATGATCTTTGGGCAAGACAGTGTCTTGTGTATGAGTCAGTAAGAACCTTCTCATCACTATCAGACACAGAGGCGAGTCATGCATTCTGTCTTCCAGCTGAGGGGAGCAGAAGCTAGTGTGTCAAGCACTAGTGAGCAGCAGCAAGAAATCTGAACATGAAATATAAAAAAATTTCCTCTGTTAATGCACAGTTTTGCCCCCTGTCTTTAGGGGAGACTTCTGCATTACCTTCATTGCAAGATGCCATGCTATGTGGAGCTGCACCCATTTACCATTATCTGTACAACAGTTTACTCATAGTAAATTTTGATTTATACATACACACACACCCCCTCACAGCTAGTGGAGCTGGTAAAACCCCCACTGTATGCTGTGATTCTGAACAGAGTAATTCCAGCTCAGCATTCTGATTCTTGCAGGGTCAGGAATGAAGAGAAGGCAGGCTGGGAGGGTGCATGTTTGTATTTATATATAAAAACTTGGAGAAGCAAAGAGGAAAAACTGCAAACAAGTTAAGAATACTACATCATAATAAATTAGTCTTTTCCTTTGAATAAAAAGCTCTTTCTAAAGTACCAGGCCAGCAAGGAAGAGTAACTGCCAGAATGGCCTCTTTCTTGTAAGCCACATTCTTGCTGTTGGAAGGGATGTATGTAGATCTCAAGGACAAATCTCTAACATCGTAGACTGCTCATACCTCCAGGAAAGACTATAAATAGACAGGAAAAAAAAAAAAAAAAGAAGAAGAAATAGAACTTTCCATGAGCTACAGAAGCTAAGCTGAGCTTTTTGTGTTGACAAATACAAAGAGGAGTGAGCAGAGAGAGCACGCATTATCTTTTTGCTTAGCTTTCATGTGGAGTTCAAAGCACTACGCAACATAAATGAAACATGAAAGGCTGAGTGAATAATACTGCCATTGAATTTTCCAGAAAGGAATAGCTTGCCTAGGTTGAAGGAAGAGTCAGAATTAGAATTCAGGGATGACCTCCTTTTCATGGGGTGCATATTTCTGATGCAGTTTGCCTAGAGTGTATCCAATCTGCAGGCTAAGAGAACCAGTAAATATGACCTTCCCCTGCAAAAGCTATTTTTACAGTTGCCTTTTAGCACAGCACCATACTTAAGAAGTTATAGAACAGCCCTTGGCATAACAATCAAATATGGCCTTTCTGCAGAAAATGAATTAATAACATTTTCTTAACCCTACTGTGATAGATCAATAAGATTCCTTTCATACAGCAATAGCTTTGTTTGAATGTCACATCTAAACAAGAAAAAAGCTGATACAAAAGGCATCATCTTGTGCAGCATTAATTCTGAATGAGAAATCTCTTTTGCAGGTATGCAGTGGAATTGCAGTATCCCCCACTGCTGTGTCTGTTGCTGTTGCACTAAGACATTCTGTTCAGTTTGGATTTCAAAGGTGAATTTGTATCTTTTGCATCTGGGGACATTTGACAAAATGTAAAAATAAGGTACTGGGTGTTTGAGCTATGGCAAATAGCCTTCGAAACCTTAATTTTAAAGCAAATAGCACCTCCATATGCAAACCATTTTCAGTATGTAGTTTAGGCAATATTGTAAATGCCAGCAAACCCCTTTTGCCTTATCAAAGGCAAAACACTTGTAAGGATGACTGCTGTGCTAGCCCATGTTTTCCTTGTCAGATTTTTATTGTCTTTGGTCCAAGTACATTATCTTGGTTTCATTTTTTCTAAAAAGTATTTGGTAGGAGAAAAGAACTTCCCTTGAGCTGTCATAAATGTTTTTTCTTTGCACTTTAACAGGTCAAATTCAGAAACAATATACATTATTTTTATGCATGTAATCTACATGCAAACTCTTTAAACAAATTGCACTAATAGAAAAAAATACTTGTGGATGTAAATGCATATTTTTGTTTTCTGCAGAGTGCTTTGTGTATTTGTTGGAGACATGCAAATCATACCAAATACAGAAGATGGGTGAGATTTCTCTTTACTTCATAGAATAATAGAATGTTTAGGTTGGAAAGGACCTTAAGATCATCTAGTTCCAACCCCCTGCCATGGGCAGGGACACCTCACACTAAACAGTGTTGCTCAAGGCTCTGTCCAGCCTGGTCTTGAACACTGCCAGGGATGGAGCATTTACCACTTCTTTGGGCAACCTGTTCCAGTGCCTCACCACCCTTACGATAAAGAACTTCTTCCATACATCCTGAACTTCCCCTGTTTTAGTTTGAACTTGTTACCCCTTGTCCCCTTGTATCACTACAGTCCCTGATGAAGAGTCCCCCTCTGGCATCCTTGTAGGCCCTCTTCAGATACTGGAAGGCTGCTATGAGGTCTCCACGCAGCCTTCTCTTCTCCAGGCTGAACAGCCCCAACTTTCTCAGCCTTTCTTCATACAGGAGGTGCTCCAGTCCCCTGATCATCCTCGTGGCCCTCCTCTGAACTTGTGCCAACAGTTCCATGTCCTTCTTATGTTGAGGAAACCAGAACTGCACACAGGACTCCACGTGGGGTCTCATGGGAGCAGAGTAGAGGGGCAGGATCACCTCCTTTGACCTGCTGGTCACGCTCCTTTTGATGCAGCCCAGGGTACAGTTGGCTTTCTGGGCTGTGAGCGCACACTGCCGGCTCATATTCAGTTTCTCATTGACCAACTTCAGGGATTCACATCCCAAAAGCTTTATAAATGTTTATGAGTTGTCTATATGTATGATGAAATCTGCACCAAGGAATCAGTCATGAGATGTTGTTCATTAAGTTTAGCATAAGACAAAATACAGAACATCCCCAAATACATCTCTGAAGACAAACTGCTATCTCTAAATGCCACTTTAAGATTTAGGTTTAAAGAACAATCCCTCTATATTATGTGAAAATCAGATTATTACTGACATAGAATATTGAAAATATAAAGTAATAAAGAAGACATGTAATTTTCCCTAATATAATAACTAACATTATTGTTAGTATCAAATTGTATATAACAAAAACCCCAACCCCCACGAGATTTGGTAGTGGCCTAAGGCTGACATCATGTCAATTCTCAAAATTAAATAAACATCCCTAGGCAATAGCCACAGTCTGCCTCTGTTTGCAGCATTCCAGATTGTGATTTAGGGCTCATTTTTTTAAAGCACTTCTCTGTGTGATTGGGACTTCAATAATGTGACCTTTTTATTTCAGACACTAGAAAAACTGAAAACCATGTGCACAGTCTTCCTATAACTGCAGGGGGCACATGCTGTTGATGCAGAGTTCCTTATTGGAAGTAATCTTTCCTTATAACTTTTTTCGCCACTTCCCCTTTTTCTTAAAAGTAATTTACCCATAGTTTTCAATACTCTTCTTTAAAAACTATTATTTCCATTTTAATTCGTGTTTACATTAAGGCATGTACTAATGCAAATAGTTACTTGCGCCTGTGTTACAAATTTGTATTTAAGTAATGATTTCTGTCTCATTGGAAGTTGATTAAATACTCAGATGTGGGGTTTATTTACAGAAAAATACTCATGGTACACATTTGTGAGAAAGAACAGTTTGGAAAGCCCAGCTCCAAACACTATATTCCTCTAAGCTGGAAAGAGGTAAGATTCACTTTCTGGAAACAACATTAGAGAAAAACAGTAGAATATGTTTACAGATTCATAAAATGTCACTGAGAAGCACACTTCTCACTGCAATTTGGACCTTTGAAAATACTTCCTTTTCTTGACCTTGCCAGGGTACTACTCCTTCACAGATCTTTAGAGTATATTAGAATGCACAGGGCTGTGGAAACCTTCGGTAGCTACTGTGGTTCATCTTCAAGAAGGCAAAGTGTGAAGACATAAAAGATAAATAATCTGCATGTTTAATGTAAAAATTGCTGTGAGAATAGATGAGTGTCCAATTTCCTAGGTCAATCAAAAGCTTTTTGAGATTCACCTTACTATTTTGGTTTATATCTGGCAATTTGGGGCTTTACATTTGCGCTAAACAGTTTCTTATTGTTAAAGGATGCCAAAGGAAATGACTTATTTTCTGCTGTACTTGGAGTAATTCTTCCTGTAGCATACAGTTATCAACCAAACTTGACAGTAATAGCTGTTGGACCAAACAGGAGCCTTGGAATAAGTGGGATTTCTCTGCTTTTTGCTTTGCTGCAAGGATTATCTGAGTCTCGCATTTTTGCAGTTATTGAGGTAAGAAGTAGTGCTAAGCTGTGGTATTTCAAAGTGGCTGGGACAGGACTGAAATCAAACAGCAGCACATGTAGTATGAACTGTTCCCAGGCTGCCTAGTAGAATATATTGGCTGTATCTATACTGCCTTTGGTAGCCCTGAGTTCATGATGCAAGCAGCCTAAATTTCTTTCTGTCCTGAGAACAAGACACAGCTGAGTACTGGGCTGTAGGCAGTGTCCATGACTGAGAAGCTGAGGCATGAATGCAGGTCCATGATTATGTCTATGAATGGTAGATGTTCTGACAATTTGCTACAACTTCCCTTTCCACCTGGGATTCATTCCTCAAAGTTGTCTCTTGAAAAGAGATGCTTGTGTCTGTTAATTGTATGGCCTCTTTCCATGAAATGTGGCTGTAAGCCGCCCATTGGCCTGTTTATCATAAACCACTAAATTTCCTCTCCTCTCCCCCATGCTGTACTTTATCACACACGATTTCAATCATGCAGAAGGTAAATCAGAATAGAACATATCCTTTAAGTGGCCTGTAATACGTAACTGAGTCCCAGTGTGTTTCTGGTAGAGAGCATGGCAAAGGAAATGAAGAATATACGGATCTTTCCCTAGTCTAGTTTTTTCACACATCACCACCTTAAAGATTTCTGAATTTAGGAAGTCAGAGGCTGTATCCAGACCTGTGTGTAGTGAGTGCGAGTGAGCGTATCTTCGTGAATTTATCTAATCTCTTAAAGAACTCAGTTTACACTCTTGGCCTCTGCAGCATCCTGTGGCTGTGAGTAACACAATTGCTGTCTGTGTTCTGTGAAACAGTAACTTTTGATTGCTTTTGTGCCTTCTAGCTCTTCTTTAATGAGAAACAATGAATAATTGTTCACATATTCTTATCTGTTCCCCAGCAAGTATCCTCTTAAAGGTACACTATTCATTTAGCTGCCAGTTAAGTGGGTTTTGACATACTTAATTCTGTAGTCCTCTCAAATGTCATTTATTTTAATTTGCAGTGCTGATATGTAAGTTGTCCAACCTACAATAATTTGTACATTGATATGCAGTAGACATGAATAGTGTATTTGCATGTTACTACTTAGGAATATGAAATGGAAAGAATTACTGGTATTCTAAAGGGAAACTGGGAGGTAAAAAGGAAGTTAGGTGTACATCATTACAAAATGGCTGGTACTTTTATACTGGTACTCTGCCGGTAGCTCCGTAACAAGTTTATGTAGTGTTTGGGGAGTTTCTAATGCATGTGTTTGGCTTTTTAGAATAACTGAAAAACACTTCTGTCTCTTAAAAATAGAATAGTGTTGCAGTCTTCCAAATTAAATAATCTTCACATGCTATTGATATTTCACAATAGAATTTCTCTGAGCAAATGATACTGATTTAAACTGTCAAGAGTCCAGAAAAGTCACTTCTGGATGAAGGAAAATATATCTCTATTTTCTACCTAAAGAAAGTAAATGGTGCACGAAATAAACAAGCTGCATGGCGCCCTTCTTGCCTAATATTTTCTGTCTTTAACCCAGCATTATTTCTTTTCAGTCACTAAAGGAAAACTGAGATTCCTTCTCTTATCTGAAAGAAACAAATTTTACAGGAGATAAAAAATAATTTGCCTTTATCAGTAAAACTTCTCCATTTTGACACATTTTTATCTGAAAAAGGAAAGCTGCTCATTCTTGCTACTAATACTAGTAACTTAATTACAAAAGCTTGTTTGAAAGTACTCCATGTTTTACTGAAACAAAGAAAGTTTGGTTACCAGGAGTATTTTTTTTCTTCTTAAATAGGATACAGAGATAAACTTAGTGCAAAGTGCAGCCAAAGCATTAGTGGGTACTTCTACACCTCACTTTGGAGTTTTTGTACCTCCTACCCAGGAAAAAGTAAAACAAATAAAAATATTAAGAGACCAATTTCAGCAGGAATGGAAAATGCTTCAGTGTTCAGGTAAGCTGTCTGGTTTTATCTTTAGACACACAAGTTTCTGAAAAGGGTAAAAAAAACAGCTAGATCCTTGTAGTCAGTGTGATATTAAAGTCACTGGGAATAATTGTTCTAATGTCAAAAGCATGAAATTCTGAATGCTTTAATTCTGCCACTTCAGCCAGAAAGCACCAAATTTCATAGCATAGTAAGTGTACTCTTGGGAATTTTGAATACTGTTACTCCAAAATCTTGAAGTGAAACTACTAAAATGTTAAATGCTTAAAGAACAGTTAGTAAGATGTGAGATGTGCACTGGCTCTGACTGGTAATGTGTTTTCTGGATATAGTGCCAAATCAGGTGACACTTTCATGCATTTATCCCATCCACAAATAATTTCACTGAACTCAATCGTGATTAGTCATGCTGAGGTACTGCATTTGTGCAGGAATGAGGTAAACTTGTGTTTTTCAACAGCAAAAGCAGTGATAAAGGTGGGCATCTCTCTGAAGGAGAATGCCCACCTCTCCTTCGGAAGAAATGGCCAAGAGCAGTGTTCTGATTCCAGTAAAAATGTTCTACTGGGTTGGGAATTGGGGTGTGAGCTTTGATTAACAACTGTTTTTCGTACTGGTCTTTTCAGTGAAGGATGGGATTTCAAGAAATTGACTTCAGAATCATTTTACACAGCAGAAGAAAATGTGTTGCTGTTCATGTTGCCTTTTAAATCACCAGGAAAAGAGCTGGTCAATCTCCAAACAGAGTGAGAGTCATTCATGATTGTCTTCTGTTTTTAAAACAGTTTAAATGAGTATTTTCAGCTGGAGAACTCTGCAAATTCTATATTGGCACTAGTTATTTGGGACTGGTGCCTGAAGCAATTCCTGTACTTCATGACTGCAAACTGGGGCCTGTGTCATTGTAAATTGTTTGTGACATTGTAAAGCAGGCTTGCATATGCAGTAGCTTGACTCAAGTTCAAGAATTCCAGAAGACAGGCATCTGAAATGAGCAATCATAACAGCCAAAACATTTTAGTGCTATTCAGCATTATGCAAGAGTGCTTGCACTGCTGCCACCACCACTGCTTCATTGAGAGTTTTAAGCTTAACAGCCATTATCATCACAAGTGTGATACAGGACATGCACACACCATAGGTGTTCAGCTGCTTTTCTTTCTTTTTACAACTGACAACTACCTATTAGAAAAATTAAAAGAATAGACAATGTTAGGTGAATCCTTTGTATCAGATTATGAAATAAAATTTCACTTGTGATGATAATGGGCATGAGAGAAAAAAAAAAATTGCTTTTATAACCTGACATAATTGAATAGAGCAGTGTAGAGGGGACTTTACTTACCCCTCTTTCCAAATGTAACTTGTTTCTGTAACAAATAAAACCCCCAGAGGTTTGGTAGTGGACTAAGGCTGACATCATGTCGATTCTCAAAATTAAATACCATCCCAAGGCAATAGTCACAGCCTGCCTCATTTTGCAGCATTCCAGATTGTAATTTAGGGCTCATGTTTAAGAGCACTTCTCTGTGTGACTGGGACTTCAATAATGTGACCTTTTAATTTTAAACACTAAAAATGATGTTTATACTGGTGTTGCTGCTGGGATCAACTTGACATTATTTTAGCAACTCAATCTGGCTTTGCAATTTTCTGTTCTCAGTGATACCCTTCTCATTGCCACTGCTTTTCAGTTACTGCAGGATCGGAAATTATACCCAATCCATACCCAATCCTTGAACATTTTGAACTGAAAATCTATTTCAAAAGAAACTAAAAGCCATGTCAAGCATTTTCACAAATGGAAGTTGGAGACAATGAAGGTGTTCTGCTTTAAAATCAACTTCAAATTCCAAAAAGTAATTCTTTTATATTGGAAGCTGTGCAATGGCAAATGTCAGCTTCAGAACTTTTCAGAACAGGAGCTTTTTTTGTTAATTATTCTCTCTCCACTGGAAAAAAGAAATAAATAAATAGATAAATAAAATTGACGGTTCAGCATTTTCAAGGGTAAAAACAACAAATGCAAACATTTTCTCAGAAATAGCTCTTTCACTTAATTCAGCTGAATGTTTACATGCTTTGAATTATGAAATGTCGTATTTTGCTACGTATTTTTCTAAGATCTTGATGCATTTTATTAAAACATGAATTAAGATGAAAACTGTGTGCTCTTGGTAGAACTAGTTTGTAAGTGTGGTCAGCAGGCTGCAGTCACAGTGTGCAGCTCGGGCCCCCACCGTGGTTTATTGCTTTCTGGTAACGTTGTGTTATTTCGTGTACACTGGGCTCACACGTTACATGCACGCACCGCAGGGATGGTTTGTAACCCGCCAGCTCTATAACCCGGCGCTGTACCTACCGGGTTAGACCGCGCCATGCTAACGGCGGTACCGCTGCCCCGTGCGTGCCCGGCAGCGCCTCCCGCCGCCCGCCACGCCCAGGGCCTCTTCGCGGCTCGTCGCGCTGGCGTGACGTCAGCGCCGTGTTTGGCGGCCCGCGAAGGGGGAAGGAACGGCTGAGGCGGCCCCGGCAGCCGCCAGAGGTACGGCCGGAGCGCTGGGGCGGGAGCGAGCCGGGCCGGAGGAGCGGGGCTGGGGCGGGGTGCTGCCAGCGTGCGCTGCTGGGGGCGAGCAGGGGCCGCCGGGCTGGGCCCAGTGGATCCCCAGCGATCCAGCCCTGCCGCGGGAGCTGCCTCGGGTGGTGCTGTCACCCCACGCGTGTTTTCTGCGGGTACTCCGGAGCCGGCCCGGGGTGGCCGGTGCCGCTGCAGCCCAGCCCTGCCCTCCCGCTGCCCGTCAACATCAGCGCCAGCGCCTCTTTGCCCTCATCTTCTCGCCCGCTCTCAGCGTGGCCCCGTGGCTTCTGCGGCGGGCACTGCCCTGGGGAGAGCGGGGTGGCGGTGTCTCCTGAGAGGATACAGGGTGGTAAAGCTGTGGAGGTGTTCCCACAGGAAATCCTGTATTAGATCAGGACAGCCTTCTCCTATTTCAGTGTGCCGAGCAAAATCAGGCGCTTGGAATTAAGCTTGCACCACCATCAGTGTGCTTGTGATCAAAGTCATGCTGTTATTTTTATAGCTTGTGTCCTAAATATGTGCTAGGTCAGTTTTCTTCTCTCTGGTTTTGGGCTCTTAGTTTAAGTTAAAGCACACTCATCTTTCTTATAGACATCACGAGTGTTTCTTCTTCCTGGTATTTTTCAGATCTGTGCATGAAACCAGAGCCCTGGACTGTAACTGCTGTAACCTGACAGTTTGATTTGAAATGGAGAGCATCACCCAGTTGTTCAGTGATTTGTGTGAAGCACACTTGACAGGTTTGCCATGGAAGGTCCACCTGGGCAGGCAGAAGATCAGCAAGAGAAGGGCTAAGCAAAATCTGAAAAGGGTTGCTTATAATGCCCTGTTCATGAACCTTTTTCAAGAAGAGGCTCGTAAGCTGCTGTCAAACGTTTCCAGGCTGCCAGTGAAAAACAAAATCTTGATGCTGTCTTTCAACTTAAGAGTTGCTGGCCTCGGTGCTCAGGCAGATAGACTGGAGGACCTTGTGGAGGAACTGGAAACAGCTGAATGCTTACCATTTACTGAAGTTAGCGCTGTCTTGGATCTCCTGGTACAGCTTGCTGGAACAGGGCCTCCCCAGCTTGTACCACAAAAAAAGGACTATTTTCTGAACAACAAATATGTTGGTAGAAATGTCAAGTATCAGGGTTATGATTATTATGATGTAAGTGTATTTGAAGCTGATATCCAATCTCTAATAACAAACGAAGAATGTCAGTTCAATGACACAATTCAGAAGACGCTTCAGATCATGGAAGCTGCCCCTGGCACCGGGCTCCCTGCCATAGGGCTCTTCTCACGGGACTGTCCGGCTGGGGACAGGTTTGAGAAAGAAACACGGGTCTCGCTCTTTGGTGCTCTTGTCCACAGCCGTACCTATGACATGGACATCAAACTGGATTTACCGCCAGTGCCTGACAATGCAGATTTGTCTGGACTTGCAATTAAAGTATGGTATCATTTGTTTTGGACTTGAATGTATGCATGCTTTCAATATGCCACTTTGAAAACTACAGTTCAAACTATAGGTAGTTGTTTAATTTGTAATAGAAGCATACAGTGTTAGAATTAAAGATGAAGTAGGGATTCTTTTCTTACTCCTAATCCTTATTTTGTTCTGTCTGCTTAACATATGGATAGCTTTTGCAGTTCCCTTAACTCAGGATCTTAAATGAAACTTGAAGGTAGAGAGATTAAAAAGGAAAACCCCTGTGGCACATATGGATGCAAGTCGTAACTTAGGGGGGGGCAGAACCTTTCTGAGTACATGTTGCACTCTTTCCATCAGACTGGAAAATTTGTGATTTCTTGAAGAGCATGCTGCTTTTTATATGGGTACAATTGTCTTTTACTGAAGTTGAATACTGTTCTGCACATACAACTCCTGTTGAGTGGGAGCTGAGGATATGGCAAATACACTGTTTGGAAATCTGCAGGTTTTCTGCGTATGAATAAGCATAAGGGAACAAACTGTATTAGTTGGAGTTAACAAAATGTTTACAAATTTGAATAATTAGGGCCTTGATCGCTTGCTCAAATGAAATACCTAGCAGAATGATTTTGTTTGTGTAACATTGAATATGCAGACATCAGGTTCTCAACCTGTAGAACTATATGCTTACCAAAGGAGTAAGTTTAGAGTTTAATACCCACAAATTTAATGCATGATTTTGGTGGTGATTGTTTTATATATGGGCATTAGTACCAGTAGAGGCTTACCAAATGGAAAGAGTGCTTACAGGGAAAAAAAATAGATGTAAAGGGAGGGCGCGCAACACAGGCTTTGTTATGTAGAGTCCTTTGATCATGAGTGATAGCAGGAAATCTTCTTTATTAGCATGTATTTCTTCAGTAAAATGTCTCAATGTATAACATTTGAACTCTCGACAGGTTCCCCAAAGTATAGACCAGTCAGAAGATGAGGGATTCCAGTCAGCATCCAATCTGACTCCAGATTCTCAGTCAGAGCCAAGCATGACTCCAGACATAGACTTGTGGGATGCAGTACTTACATATGGACCCAGCAAACGAAGATGTTGGGAAAGAATTGGATAGTATGTGTCTGCTCTTACTGGCAAATTTGTTATGCTTCACATGCAAACGTATGGAGGTGCATTTCATCTTGGTTCCAAATGACCTCAGTATAAATGATGAAATGTTAATGTTTAATTCACAACATTCAATATACTGCATTAATGATTGAGAAAGGAATAGCAGTTGTGCAGTTTCAACAAGCTAGTTATTGGATTGCAGCTGTTTCATAGGAAGAGAGAAAATCGTCTTTGTCAAAACCACTGAAGGGATTATGGGAATGCTTGCTGTTTGTGTGAAATGCAGCATTTTTGTAACTAATCTGACTTCTTTTGCATTATACAATTTATCTCAGTCTAAAACAGTCTAAATCAGTCTAAATTTTCAGTTTAAAAAGGAAAAGTGGTAATTGTAGAGCACTAGGATAATCAAACACATCTCTCCCAGTACTGTACACTATTGTATTAATTTTCCTTGTCTATAACCAAAACAGAAATTATTACTGTGGATTTCTTGATGGTGTAGTTAGAGTTGTAGTTCTTTTGACTGTTGAGTAGAAGATGAATCCCCTGAGAGGACGGTGTATAGCCCTGTTAAAGCTTCCTGGCTTCCCTAAAGTGGAAGAAAAAAAGCCCCTGAGAGGACGGTGTATAGCCCTGTTAAAG